TTTTTTTTTTGTTTTCGTTCCATCGTTGTGGAAGAACGACTCGGATGAAGAAAGAGGATGTGAACAGAGAAAGATGCCGAGGCGTTCGTAGGCGAGCAGGAGATGAGGGACGATTAATTTTCATGGTGATGGCCAGTGGAGGCGCGATGACGCCCGTGATGACGATGACGATGATGGGCGGACGATGCGACGTCATCGTTGGTCGTCCAATGGTTCCACGTGGATCGCACAGTTGGTGGTCGGTCGTCGATGAACGGGTGGAGGCACGGAAATGAGGAAATAGAAGAATTTGATTGATTTATATATTATATATATATATATATATCTGTGTGCTTTTTAGAATCACTGTGTGTGTCTTGTGTCAATTATTTCAATTTGTTTATTATTATTATTATTATTATTATTGTTATTATTTTATTTTCTATTTTCGACACGATGTTCGTGTGTGTTCCATCCGTGTCTTATCCATATCGTCTACTTTCTTCTCGTTCGTTAAACTCCGTTCTCTCTGAAAATTCATTCTCGTTCGATTTGATTTCTCTAAGTGTGTGGACCGACTCGAAATTTTTGTCTATGTAATAAATACGTAAATCGTATACATCTCGTGTTACCTTTCCTTCTTCTAAACGCACGGCCGTTCAAATCGTTACGTTCGAATCGTTTGTTTCTAATCGTTTCGATTTTTTTATACGTTTTGTCCTTTCTATCTTTATTTTTTTTTTATGCTTTTTATTATTACTGTTACTATTATTACTATTATTATTATTATTATTATTAATATTATTACTTTTCTCTCGATTATTTATTCTGCTTCTATTTCGTGTTTCTGCTTGCTATTTCTTTCATCTTATATCTTATTTGTCTCGGGTTTATTGTGGATTTCTGTGGGTTTTTAATAGTGCTTTTTTTCTTTTTTTTTTCTTTCTTTTTTTCTTTTCTTTCTTTCTTTTTTTTCTTTTTTTTTTTTTTTTTTTACTAAAACTGGCTAAGAAACTGGCCCAGGCCAAACGCTCAGAACGAGGCCTCGACGAGGTAAGTCCCGTCCATCGCAGCCCCGGTCTGCCCCCCTTGGGCACCCGTTACTTGGGCCCTTGTCGCCGGGATGTACTGACTGTACGCCTGCTGAAATCCACACCACAAGCACACACTACATTGTTGCACGCTAAGCTCACCTACCCTAAAGTGTCTGTTTCTACTATGGACCTCTACTCTCATTTATATCTCTATTCAATCGTGACACGATGGAAGAAAAAAAAAAAAAAGAAGACACGTGTGCACGTGTTAATATACGTCGTCCCGTGGGACGTGATTTTCTTATTCCCCCCCGCCGGAACGAAAAGAATTTTCTCAAATTCCCAAATTTTCTGGAAATTTTTCGGTCTCGTCGAAAGAGGGGGTAGGGGGGAGGGGCAGGAAGGAAGGAGCGGAAGGGAAAATTATTCGAAAAAAATCAATCAACCAAACATCTACTGGTATCATCTACATATCTTCTACGCGTTTCCTTATTATACGTCATAGATCTCTATCTATATAGATCTAATCCCTAAAAAAGTAATTCCATCTAAACACGAAGAATGGATGGCGCGCCATTTCGAAGGCTCCACCAGCTCTCGACGAAAGAGGCCTTAAAATCCATTTGTTATATTTCCAAACTCCCCTACCCCCCACCCCCCTCCGACAGTGCGTCGTTTCTCCTGTCGTTCGTTTCCCACCGAGTTCCGTCTCGTTCTACACTGGTCCTCGACTACCAAACAAGTCTAAGATTCGACTAAAAACCTTCTAAGACGCTAGATTCCTTCCACTATCTATCAGATCGATCATCCCTGGAGGAACGGGGCGAGAACCACTTCGCAACCCGTTCGCAAGCCAGCGGAACGGACTTAATCGCCGGGTTTAATTAAATTTAATTAGCCCACGTTTAACGCCCGACCCCGATTTCCCGAAAATTCGTGCAACGCAACGAGTTGGTCGGCAATGGCGCGCTCGATGGACGCGCTTGGGGAGGGGAGGGGAGGGATCGGCGACGAAACGGCCGTGTAAAATCATTATCACGGAACGGGACACGGGAATTTTAATTGGACAATGTTGAAAAGAGAATCGAAATAATCGAAACCGTGTTTATCGAATTGTCGCACCGGGTCGGGTCGGGTCGGATGCGTCGATCTTTTCGATTCGATAAATCAATACCCGTATTTTCGAAATTTTGTTGAAATTTGTGGAAATGTGGTCGCGTGGGCGCGTGTATTTTCGGGTGGGTATATGTTCCGATATCCTAGAATTTTCATTTCTTCTTTCGTCGTTCTAATTTAGAACGGAAATATCGCCATTTTAATTTCGCGAATTTAAACTTTTGAACTTTTTGAGCTTGAAAAAAGAATATAGTCCGTCCGTTCGAATGATATTTCCATCGTATTTTTATCACTTATTTTTTTTTTTTTTTTTTTTTGAAAAAAGAATCTCCATTAATTTCCAACAATCGAAACAAAAATATCTCCCCTTGGAACGAATTTACAATCGCGATCAGGCCATTCGACGTTCATCCATTTCTTTTACAAAATTATCGTGAATAACTTTCCCATCCATCCCCCCTCCCTCCCTCCCTAATATAATAAATTCCCGTTCGATACAACTTTCTCCCTTTTTGATATCTGTTTGCAAAAAGAGAGAAAAATAAGACGTTCGACGAACGAAAGGTAACATAGAGTTTCTTCAATCGATCAGTAAAGTTGAAGAAGAGAAGGAAGGTCTTATATCTTACTCTAAAAGTCTCGTCTCACTGAAAGAAAACAGAATAATTAGAGGTTGGTTGGCTCGCGATCGATCCAAGTGAAACGTAACCAAGGGGTTCGTTCGAGTCGATCGGGGGTCAAAAACACCGGGGCCAATCGCGGCCCCCGCAACAGACAACAGTTCTTCATTATCATGCAACTTGTCGCGTCCTCGAGTCGCTCGCTAATTAATCGGTCGCGAGTTCAACGACACAACGAGGATCGTCGCTGGAGGGGAGGAAAGGGAGGGGGAGGAATGGAAGAAGGGACGAGCGAATCGTTCCCTCGTTGGTCGAAAAAATGGAAGGAAAAGGGAGGAAAATAGGGGGTAGAAATTGGGAACGACGATTCGAACAACTCGTGGGGCGCGAAAGATACGGTTCGCAGAAGAAAGGTTTCGCATTCAAACAATCCAAGAAACAAGAGAGGCGTAATAACGTAACGCAATGCGAGTAGCGCAATGCTGGGTGATGGGGGTGGAGGATAAGTGTGCCAAGAGAACGAAGAAGAAGAAGAAGAAGAAGAAGAAGAAAAAACATAGTAGTAATCGATCAATAAGTGAACAACATTTCCCAACAATGTAATGCTAATCTGCAATTAACTAGCAGGCTTTTGGTATCAATGGGGTGGCGATCAAGAAAAGAAACAAAAAAAAACAAAAATAAAAAAGATATAGACAAATAGTAACAGAGTTCCTTTTTTTTTTTTTTTGTCGTTAAATTAAGGCTCTTACCTTAAACGGACGAGAACTGTTTCTACGGGACGAACCACGCACAACAGGGTGCCGACAGTGTGTTTTATGTTACAAAATGTACAGACATATTTACATCGTGAAATTACATCGTGAATACGATTTCTCGACGATTAACTCGAGAAATGGATGGAATGGCAGAAATTAAGAGGTAGGGGGGAGATTAATAAGACAAATCTCGATCGAATTTCGACGAAATTTCTCGTTAATATCGATTTAATATCGCTACCAGGTGTTTCCGTATTCCGCCAATTAATTGTACTTGATTTATAACAATGAGAATCGTTGGCGATGAATCAGCGCGAACGCGTCACGGATATTCACACGCGAAGGAGGGAATGTATAAAATATTTCAAGATTTCTTGTTTCCGTGAAGCGTTCATCTCGAGAAACACCTCGTGCGTTGAATACATCAACGATGATTTCATATACCGATGAATGGGCGAGGTTAAGGTTGGGCCGATTCGTAAAGTCGTAATCGTAGTAAAAATTGGCAAACGGCAGCCTGCCTCGTCGCGACGTTTACAGCCGGTTTACATCCGTCCACCCACTTACCTGTTGAACGATAATTAATTTGAACGACGATTGGAAGCACTGTTGGAAGCGACGACGTTGGATGCGAATCACGGAGGAGAGGAAGGGCAGTCGCCTCATAATTATCGATCGATGATTTGATAATAATTTACCAAGCTTCTTTCTCCTTCGCGGATCATCCTTTTTCCCGTGCTCCGTGCGTTCAATTCTTTTTCTTTTTTTTTCTTTTATTACCACCGGCTATAATCGAGGCGAGCCGACAGGCTGGCAGGTTTCTAATTAATTTTCTTGCAACGGGGGGATGAAACAATCGGGGGGATGATTGATTGATGTACGCGGCCCCACGAGGAGGGCTCCCGAATTTCCCAATCCCTGACACTCGTCCCCGGAACGAGGCGAAAAACAGATGATTTA